ATGATAGATAGGCAATATGCAAAAAGAAATAAAAGACACAAGAAAAACATTGCTTTACAAACCTTAAGATTTAATAAAAAATTTATATTTTGCAAATGAAAGCATTGTAATGTTTATTGATAATCTGCCAAATTTCGTTAATATTTGCTTACTAATTTAAAAGTTATAGCATGAAAACTATAGCAAGCACCAAATGGTTACGAGTTAATGGAATACCAAAGAAGTTAAAACTGAATGGTTAAATAAAATGGAACTTTCCAGTCCATAAAAGTATTTTTTTAAATTGAAATTCCATGACAAAAGGAAATATTTTTAATGCTGTTTAAAAACAATGTTTCCCTGCAAAGTTTAGAAATTACCTAAAAATGATGGAAACACTAGATCTAACTATCTCACAAACACTGTTATTTCGTGCAATTTAGTTATTGAAGCATATCCATTACGGAAAAAAAAGGTTAAATACTGCCACTCACTACTTCCTATAATTGCAATATGTTTTGGAATGATCAGTAACAGATAATTCTCATTTTGCTAGCTACAGTACAGTCTGAAATATACAACACACAACCTTTTCTTCTCATAAAGGAATCATCAATAGGATGAAATAAGATACTATTAAAGCTGCATATCTCTTGACCATGATTACAGCAAAGAAACTAATAAATCTTTTTTTTTTTTACAAATCATTTTGCTATGATAAAACCATGTATACTTAGCTATAAATCAGATGTTTCTAAACCTTACCATATGAAATGGATATTAAAACAAAATAACACTCTCAAACTAAACAGTTTATAACTACTAATGTACAATGCCTTGAATGTCTACCTGCAACTTAGCACAAATAGATAGAGGATTTTTCCTTTTTGGCTATTGACGAGTTAGAAGAAAATAAATATCTGGGATCAACTGACAGTATCTGTCAGTAACTTTGCAAAACTGAAACACAATCCTCATTCAATGCTTACTTTCTTACTATGTATAATGTCACTGAAAATCTGGCAACTGTGCAAATCAAATTAGTCAAAGTTTTGAACTTTTTCCAATTCAAATCTTATATTAAGTAATGTTTCTCATCTGCCTGCAGACTGCAATATCACATAAATGAAAGTTCTATACAATATTTGAAACAGTTATAATCAAAAATTGTTTGTTGAATTTAGCAGCAGTAGCATTATAAAAATCATGAAACTAAGGAAAAAAATTTCTTTGAGTCTATTTAAATGAATTAAGAAAATAAAAATGAAGAACTGAATGTGAAATTTCAAGAAACTGTTTCTTTTTTTTTTATTAACAAATAATGAAAGAGCTTAGCTGCAAAATACAGCTAACATATAGTTTAATAGGACACATGGTCATATAGAACTTACATTTCTTACAATAGGATCATTTCATTTATCAATTCTTAAAAATCACAACATGCAAAGTTTAACCTAAAACCACCTACTCTCAAATGTAATTTAAAAACAAATGTGAAAGACTTTCTGTAGTACTATTTTATGTAACTTTTTATTCTCTTACAATCTAAGGTTTTGAGAATTACAGAAAGTAATGTCATTTTGGGTATTAAGTTGTAGAAATTGGCAAGCAATTTTTTTATCCAGTGTAAGCTATACATATTGTTACGACAGCGGAAGTCATGTGATGCTGGGAGCATGGGAGTTTCTTGAATTATCGAGGAACCCCGCAAATGTTCGAGTGTTTGCTAAACACCCTCTTTTTTAGTATATTAGCCTGGCAAAGAAAGCCAGCAAGATAGATAGATAGATAATTAAAGAAGCTAACAGTAGTGATGTAAATAAGGTGTGTGAATCATAGCGTGTTTATAAAAATTATTAAGTTTAAAGTGACGAGGAACGTATTAACTGTGGAAATTCTGTGTATTGCAAAGTTTGTATTGAGAAAGAATAAAGTAGTTTTAATCAAGAAAGGACTTGTATCGCTGAAGTCGGAAAGAATTTCTACCTGAAATTAACAAACAAGCAGATACATAACAATACTATAACCATGCTAATTAAATTGGGAATACAAAAAATAAATTTCTCTGAATAAGGCAAAATGATAACCTTAGGTCAATTTCACACAGCATAGTTTCCTTAATTCTTAGGAGTGCGAGAGTTGAGTGTCATTGGTATCACTTGATTTTTCTTTTTCAGAGAGGAAATGCTTCAAATCATATGAAACTTTGTACAAACTTACAAAAAAAGATACAATTTGGTTTACTTTTTTTATCATTTTTTACATTGCAAAATTTCCATGATTTTGTTGTAAGACACAATCTTGAAAATATATTAACCTTCTCCTTATGGGCATTCTTTTCTGAATGTCATGAGGTATTTACCAAGTTACATTTAAAATTTAATTAAACTACTTTCTTATCATGGTGTACGAATAAACTTGGCATAAAGATGTAGCTAGTAATCCAAATTTTAATATTATACAAGTTTTAAGTTCTTAATTTTATAAGGCAGTATTAAAAACAAATCCTCAATTTCCCCTACCATAAGAATTGTGACATTTGCTCTATAGATATCCCATCTTCTCTAATTTATTTACCACTCCTCCAAGTACAAAATTTAACATAAATTACTCATTATAATGTTTTCATCACTTGGGTAAATCATAACTGTTATAGCTCTCAATCTTATTTGGTTTTAGAGCCATGAATTAGAAAATCAGACCCCTCTTGCCATGCCCACCTCTCACATCCCCTTTCATAAATTGCCAATTGTTTTCTGACATTTAATACTATATTATTTATAACCAACTGAAAGCCAAAGTTTTAATCTATCAAATAACATATTATATTACAATGTTCACACTTAATTCCCATGGGAAACACATCGACGAGCTTAACAGAATTTTTAAGAATTCTTGTCTTATAGATAGAAAGCCAGAAAAATGTTGATAGTTATAGAACACTGTCTGCTTTTTGCATGTTAATATTTTGTGTTCTTTAGTGCATTATTCAATAAAATAAAAAAGCAATTTAGTGTAGTAGTACCATTAGTATAAAAAAGTAGGATTAAGTTTCCCCAACAGTCAACAGCAACAACGACAAAAAAAAAGATGACGGCCGGAGTAAGTCCTATATTTCTTGTTTTTCATTTGTATCCTTTATAATTATAAAAGTAACTGAAATGTAATAATTACATACTTTTTAGGTAAGATTATGCAAAATAAATAATTATAATAATGGAAATTTTTCATGGAGGTTCGCTTGCAAGAAACTCGCAAGTTGCTTGTGCATTAAGTAATTTAATAAAATAACATGAGCTACATTTTTGCCAAGTGATTTTCAACTTTGTGGCAGGAATATTAGTTACACATGGTTCAAAGGGCAATAAAACAATAAAATTTAAGTATAAACTGTTATGCATTTTAAATGATTTAGGATAAACAAATATAATTTCATGTTACAATGTGAAGTAATTCTAGAAATCAAAAGATTTAATGATTACTGAAAGTTTGCAAAATTTCATGAAGATACAAAAAACATTTTAGAAGTTATAGTATGAAAACTCTAAAGGTCAACTTTTAGG